ATTATATAAGATTGAGTTAAAACCTATCAACCTGCGCCATCTAGAGTTTCATGACAGAACTTTGTATTAAATGGAAGGACATAAGGAATAAATTATGACACATTTGTCATTTTCAGGAGAACTATGCCTTTAAAGTATTTACATTTTCTCTGCAGTTGTCTCTGGAGGTGAGTCAAGGGCTGCCCTTCTTCGTTTGCGGGCATGGCTGGTCCTCCTGTAACCCTCAACATACAAGTCAAACCTGCAGACTACAATGCCGCCAACTAAAGGTGGGTGACGTGTGCCTGGCACTAACGCATATGCCCACCTCTTCATCTCAGCCTGCCAATCAGAGCCTAGCTGAAGTGGGCGGAGATCACACGGTCCCAAAGTGTCATGCCAAAACCAATCCCACACTGCAGAAAAAAACATAAATCAAGAGAGACACTTCACAGCTCCTGAACTCAGGGAAGTTTCCAAGGTACAGCACACCGAAGACTGAGCAGCTAAATTAAATCATATACTGTAGAATTACAACAAAAAGTTTTTTTTTTCTCAGAATTACAGTTAAAACACTGTTTTTTTTTGTTGTTGTTGTTGTTGTTTTTTTTTTGTTTTTTATTGTACATAAGTTTTTGTACATTGTAAATAACATATTTTTAAAATAAATGTATGTACATAGTAACTGCAATGTTACTAAATCAATTACACTACCGTTCAAAGGTTTGGGGGCAATGAGATTATTTTTTTTAATAAATATTTTTAATGACAATATTCTATGCATTAAATTGGTAAAAAGTAACAGTACATTATTTTTACATTGTTACAAATAAAATCTATTTAAAATACAAACTTTTCTTTTACACTTTCTATTCATCAAAGAATCCTGCAAAACGTATCAGGGTTTCCACAAAAATTCTAAGCAGCACAACATTTTTTTTTTAGAAATGTTTCTTGAGCACCATATCAGCATATTAAAATGATTTATGAAGGATCATGTGACCGACTGACAGTTCATGAAGACTGGAGTATTGGCTGCTGAAAATTTAGCTTTGCCATCACAGGAATGATTTTCCATTTTTAAAATATTATAAAAAAAACATAATACAATATAATGTCATAATATTTCACAATATTACTATTTTTGATCAAATCAATGCAGCATAGTTGAATATAAGAGACTTAAAAAACCATCTTACAGACCCCAAAACTTTTGAACAGTACACTGTAGAAAAAATAAATAGTTGAGAACTATGAAGGATCATGTGACCGACTGACAGTTCATGAAGACTGGAGTATTGGCTGCTGAAAATTTAGCTTTGCCATCACAGGAATGATTTTCCATTTTTAAAATATTATAAAAAAAACATAATACAATATAATGTCATAATATTTCACAATATTACTAGTTTTGATCAAATCAATGCAGCATAGTTGAATATGAGACTTAAAAAACCATCTTACAGACCCCAAAACTTTTGAACAGTACACTGTAGAAAAAATAAATAGTTGAGAAAACTTAAAATAATAAAGCAACTTGATGCAGTAAGACTTTTGAGTTCTCTCAACAATAGTTTTTTAGTTCTGCTCAATAAAGATACTTTGTTTAGTCAATGTAAATTGGTTTGTTCATGCAAAGCTGATTGTCTTATTTTGCTAATAGAAAAATTCTTGTCACAGCAACTGAAAATACAATTACTGTCATTGAGGTAAATTATTTTTTTCTGTTGCCTGGACGAAAAAAAAAACAGGTAAAAAGTCATCTCATTATCAAGTTTATGTTTGCTTACGAATGACAAACGTTAATAGGAAACTTAGTCTAATGAGTAGATAACATTGTCTATGCTTGTAAAACAACATACAAGACTAAGATACCCAGGAGATAGACATGAGTGTGTGAACATACTCTAGGCCTCAAAACTAGACACACTAACCTCAAGAATGGTGACAACCATTTACATCACAGTACAACAAATAACTAACAATAATGATAAAACAACAGCAAAAAAATGTAAATGAAGTCTGCAAACAGCAAAACAATAATCCTATAACAGTAACTGCATAATTTATTCATGCTGCAATGCATGCTGGGAGCTCACAAAGCCTTAACATTTCAACAATATGAAATTCTTTGTTCAGTCAACTGTGTTTGACTAGTTGGGGCAACATTTGGGGTAATTTTGTTGGTCTGAAAAGGGTTTTTATGTAGTTTCAAGAAAATAGCATTTTTTAGTATTGGAGACTCAAAAGGTTTCGTAAACTGGAAAATGTGCAACTGTATTTGCTACAGTGTAGTGTATTGTCACAAAATACAAATCAGACCGCCTTACAACATTCTTACAACAACTAACAACAACAAAATGAGATATTACAGTTATTTTTGTTTTGCAGTCTATAATTTCCTGTATGCACATGCGTTGTATAAAAACACTGTACTGTACAATGTCTGATATTGAACTTTTTGACACTGGGCTTCATGTCTGTTACCCTGGTGGAAATATATACTGTACTTCTAAAAGCTGACAAAATAAACTTAGCATATATTAATATGTATGACCTCATTTCTTGACTCAGGGGTGTACACAATATTTTTTTTTCTCCAATAAGATGTTTACTATAATGGGAATATAAATAATCATAAATAATTGTTATATAATTATTATAAATATATTATACATTTAACATATACATAATAAATATAATACACACACACACACACACACATATATATATATATATATACATATATATACAGTATATACAGTATATTGTATACTGTACATAGTATGTAACCCACAGATGTTTATAATAAACCTGTTATCATTTCCATTCATCTTAATGACTGCTGCTTTGACGCCCCAGGTGTATGGGACCTCACAAGATAACTAGAAGCCACTTGCTAAATTAAACATGCAATATAATGAGGGCATGTAACACATAATGTAGCTATTATTGTTTAATGATTTGCATAATGCATATGGTTTTACGTCTTATTTGTAAAAGACAGTAAACAGAAAATAGTGGTATGCAATACGCTAGCATTCTTTTCTGAACAAGAGAGCCTATGTAATGCCTAATGCCTAAAGAGTTGATCATTAACATTCTCAGGTCCACCACATAAGCAGAAATCCTCCCATAAAACAATGCAGAACATCTTATTTCATAGAGTATTTGCATTTGCATTTGCATTGTTTAATTCATTGGAAGTGGTCACTTTGTGATTTTTTGGAATTGCAATTTTCATAACGATAAAACATTTTCTGCACAACATTAAGAAACACAATGTATAAGTTTTTCAGTTCTCCAAACAACTGGTTTTGAAGGCCATCTTTTCCACCACTGAGTGTCTCTTTAACGCACAGCTATTGTATTATATCAATGTTATTGGGAACAGCTGTACGGGTCACATTTTCATCTGCCAAAATCTATGGCACCTGCTCCTCTTTAGGAGGTGGACTCATACTGCAACACTGACCCTTGAGATGAGTCGTCACACACACACACACACACACACACACACACACACTCATTCACACTCTTCACAACAAAGGGTTCATTCACTAATGGTGTGTATACACATATTTGTGTGTAAATCCTGTGTGAGCACACATAATTCATCAATAAGTTGTCACAAGGTGTGTTTTTGTGTTTCAACATGTTCCCTCTTTTAGAAGGTCTGAAAGATCCTCAATGGACCCAAGAATGATTCCATCCCACTTTTTGTGTGTACACTATGTTGTCTGATTAGAAATTATTTGCTTTATTTAGTCTTATGAAAATAAATGTTACTGTATTTTAAATTACATATGACATTATAGTACAGTAGCTATAAACATGGTACAATTAAGGATTTCCTTTTCTTTGTTTTCAGTTAGCTTTCAGTTAGCAAGATAACAGCCTAGCATACTAGCTTAGCATAGTGCTAATAGCTCTTTTGATTAGCTAAAACAAGATATACCATGGTAATTTGCTAATGTTTTTGATTAAGCATTGAGGAAGGAGGATAGAATCTTGCATAAAACTGGATCCATCTACGGCAGAATAAGGATGGAAACAAATTAATGCACTTTACTGTAATAATGATTGATAACTGCTGAGAGGAAACACGTGTTCTTTCCTGTATGTGACAAAACCAAAGTGAAGGCAAAATTGAGTTGCATATGTTCTGCAGTCCTGTTTAATCGAGTGCTGAAAATTTGTGTAAGGGTTTGTTGAGTGTCCTGAAAGAGTGAAATTAAAAACCATTGCTGTGACTCACTGTAACAGACACCCATCATTTGCATGTCTATTTCACATCTTGTGCAAAATACAGTGGGGTCTAAAAATCCGCAACCACATGGAAATTCTGTGCTTCATCATCTAATTTAAACCTGGAAATAACCAGAATTTTAAACAAAGGCACATTATGAGGTAAAATGAAAAGAGATATTTAAGATTCTGAATGTATCCACTGAAGCACATAAGATCAACAAGCTCATATTCGTGCCTTTATTCTCACTCAACTTTCAACTCCCATTGTTATGCTTAGTTGTTAATAGAAAAAAATTTAATAAGAAAATCCACAATAGACGCATTTTTACTAGTGGTCTCAGACTTTCTGATAAGTTCAGTCATGGCAGGAATTTTCCAGGAATTACTTCATACAGAAATCATGCCATCATACAAGTGGTTTTTGTAATGAAATCTCCATAAAGCGATGAGCTTAAATCCATTGCGTTTTTCCTGATCAGTCTGGTTAAACCTCCAAGGCCGGCTCTTTCTCTTTTTATCTGCTCATGTCCTCTTTGATATTCCAAACTTGGCTCTCTGTGCAGAAATGAAAGCCAGAAAACCACACACTTGACTCAGCTGTGGTCAACCTCATAGAGTTCCAGCAGTTTTGTGTTTTAAATAAAAATGTATGCTTTGGATGTACACTCCTCCGACAGAGAAGTCCAATTTTGCTCCAGTAATGAGTCTCTTTCCTCTCTGGGCTCTTGATAATCAGAAGTATTTGCATCCCTTATTTTGTCCAGGGCAGATTAGTGGCATCCGCAGGCTCTGACGACCATGTTGTGGTACTTTTTCAATATTACGTTGGAACTGTCATCGAAGTACAAAACGGATATTCCGTGTAACTGCGTTGGAGCACAGCAGGGCTTCGGGACTGTTTCTGGGTTTATGAAATGGACCTAGAAAGAGCACAGAAATACATGATTTGACATAATTTCATTATAACATAATTCTAACATTATAATTATAACAACTGCAGAACATGTGTATATAAACTCTGAACTGAGAACTCTGCAAATTTCTACACAATTAGAATGCCATCACAAATTTTTCACCAGTGAGGTTTGCTGTTATTGACATTTGGGCTCTATGTACAGTTGATGAGTTGATCAATAAGTAGATTAGATTTGAGAGTGAATAACCAATTAATTTTTATGTTGGACCTTATTGACTTTCATTTTATAGGCAAACAGTTGAAACATTCAAATATTATCATATAAGAAAGACAATCATATGAGTTTGATATTACATAGGGGTCGGTTAAACCTGACTAAATTTTCCTTTTTGGGTTAACTATTCTTTTAACAGAGGAAATGACTGTGGAACTCACCAGTGTCTGTACAATAGCATGGTTTGTGGCATTCATATAAGAGTTCAAGGGGAACACACATTCTCCCTCACAGTAGTATGCAGCGTAACCCTCTGGAGCAATGATCCAGTCCTGGAAACACAAAAAAGATGAGAAGGTTTAGACGAGATAAAGGCATAAAGAGGAGTCTGAAACAGGAAGATGATTACGGTACCTGCCATCCCAGATCTCTGAAGCTGACATACAGTTCATGCTTCTTGCAGCCCTGTTTGGGGTCTACGCTGGCGCCCTCTGCATAGAACAGAAGGAAAAATAAATATGTAGCACATTTGTTAATAACATGTTAATAAACTGTGTGGTTATTAGGGTTAGATAGTATGAAGGTATATATTTCTTGTAGAAATAAAAAAAATGCATAAGCCTGAAAATGAAATTACAACAATGAACTAAAACAAAAAGTTAGTAAAAAGTGTCACCTGCAAACTCAGCTGTCTTCAAAGCCACCTGGCTGGGTGCAACACCAGGTTTGGGGTTTTTAGAGCGGTGGTGACCCCTCTGTTTGTTTCCTGATGCTGAGCGAACACTGCGGAGATGGATTCCTGACGCTTTCAAAAATGCCACCATAAATGGCTGCTTATTCTGAGGTCCACGGCTGCCCACCAGACTTGCTCTCCTTGGGTTCATTCTTTCACCTGCAGAGGGCGACAGTGAGTTGCCTGCTGACCGAAAGACAAATACTCTACTCATGAGTTAGAATCATAGACATAAAATTCTGTGATCATGTTGTTCCAATAGTTTGAATAATCTTTGAACTGATTTGGTGTCCAGAACAACACTGGAGCCCCCTGACGTTTCTGATATGAATATCTACTTTTGTGTTCCACGGATGAAATAAATGTTTGGAACGACATGAGGGTGAGTAAATGATGACAGAACTGTAATTTTTGCCAGAACTATCCCCTATCCCAAATGGCTAGTCTGCCATTTGGCTGTTTAGGATGGTAGTTTTGCAGGTTGCTTTATAAAGGTATATCTTAATATTTGAAGATACCCACCGTGTGCAGTTTCCAGAGAGAGCTGCAGTCCCAAGTTCTGACCTGGGTTTATAACCCAGTGGTTAGTGGTGACCGTGAGGTCAAATACCAGCCATCCCTCTTCTGCCGCCCACACCCCTCGCGAGTCTAGCAGGTACAGCTCCCTACACAGGGTCAGAAGAGGACATATATGGGTCAATAGCGCTTTACTACAAACATCTCTTAGCTCTTTACTAAAAAAAATGCATATGACCAATGAAACAATTAAAAACACCTAGATTGTGCCCTTTACCCATGATAAACTCAAAAACGCAATGCTAGAGTATTGCTATGCATCTGCTAGAATGTTCTGGGATAAACTAGTCTAACTCTATGTTTCATTTTCCTGCATATTGATAGTAAAGGTGGGGTAAATTTTTATACAATTTAATGGACAAAAAAAGACCATTGTCTATTGTCAGTAATGCATAAAGCACAGCTCACACAGAAACTGTTAGTCAATGTGGCAAATCCCCAAGACCAACTTAAACCCCCTACAAAAATCCTACTGAAATAAATTGTCAGACAACATAAAAATGACCACACCTTAAATGTTCATGGCAGTAAATAACCCTCAATGAGACTTTCACTTCAGTTCAGTTTTAATGTGTCACCTCGTTCACACAATGTAACTGAATTTGAACTATAGTTAGCATCATTGTTTTTTCATGAGGTTTTCTCTGCAGATAAGTTTACAAACTGCGGAAATGAGATGCGAAAATACCATGTCATGCCAGGACTTGTTGTCCTTCTCAGATACAGATATCACAAAATAAGCTCTATTCCATGAGATAAGAACTTGAGGTCTGGCTGATACGAGCCATAAAATCAAAAACAAATGACGCTGCACAGGCAACAACATGTTCCCAAGACAGCGTCAAAGTTCCCTCTTATTAAATGTGATGTTTATAAAAAGAGATCAGATTGTCCTCCGGTGATGAAAACGGGGCAATGACTTGACTTACAGGTAGGATTTCAGCCCTTGAGGCCAACAAGAGACTAGGTCTTGACGTTCCTCCTGTCTAGTCACCTTGCTGTCTGTGCGCATCAACGGGGCAAACCGTCTCTGCATGACAATAGGAGAGGTGCAGGAAGGATAATTCACAATGGGTGGTCTTCACAGGGAATGTATGCATCGGGGGTGGATAATGCTTTAGTGTGTAATTTAGAACAAGCAATGGAGACCTCAAGAGAGACTGTCTGAGCATGTCTCACCTGGAGGACTTCTTCGGGTTCTCCACTTTACGGACAATCAGAAACTTTCCAAGGAGGTGTGATCAAGGATGAGGGAATGAAGGGGAAATTATTTCAGGTGGAGGAATGGGGTGTTTTTCCAGATGTCTGGGATAGAGATCCTCCCTTCCACTGAGGACTCTGCATCTCAATAATTGACAGTAATGGCTTTGTAATGGCGGCTACTCTCACTGCTTGTTAGCGGCCACACCATAAATCAGATTGAGGAATTCTATGGGAGCCCAGGCACTATAATCATGTACCATTGGGCAGACAAATCAGTGTGTATGTGTGTGTGTAGGTCCATGCCTCCCATATTTAGACTTAAAAAGTGTGGGAGGTGGCATATGTTTCATTTCAGAAATTTCACCATTTTTTTTTTTTTATTATGCCTGCAGGACTTTGTATTCTACCCTATTTAAAAAACAACCAACAGGAACATACCAAAGTCATAAATTAGCTTTTACAATTCTGAAAAATTATATCCTTGACTGACACAATAAATAACCAAACCATTAAATGCCAAGGGCAAACAGATGCACATCCAAATAAACTGGATTTAAAGTCAATGTGAAACACCATACTCATTTTACTTGCATAATCTGTCATATTTTAGAGTACAACAGGATATTCAGTGAAAGAGACTTGAAATATCCACTGGGAATTGATTGGATCATGAAAGTGGGTGTTAGGTTCGACGATGGACCTGGAGGTTGAAAGGGAGGGGTTGATCAAAGTCAGCCGAAAAAGAGAGTAGCTTCCAAGACGGAGCAATTAATTACATTTTGGAATATCATGAGCGATTGAATCATGCACAATTGAATAAGGAATGATGATTGATGTCAAGGACTGAACGGCCAAATAAAAATTGTTTTTCTAATGTAATGTATAATAACATACCTTTCGGGCTGCTGTTGGAGCACCTGGAACACACTAACACGGAAAGTCTCATTTTCATAGCGCTCGTACACAAAGTCCTTGTAGATACGAAGCTCCGCAGCGGTCACGGTTTCTCCCACCGGTATGCGGGAGAGGTCGAAACGAAACTCTCTGTGGTGCTGATGATAGAGACGGAGGTCGTCATCTGGGTCCACTACAGAAAAACGGAGATGAATTTAATGGGCAGTACATATTATATGTTATGTTATGTTATGTTATGTTATGTTATTTTATGTTATATGTTATATGTTATATGTTGTGTTGTGTTGTGTTGTGTTGTGTTGTGTTGTGTTGAGTTGAGTTGAGTTGTGATGTGTTGAGTAGAAAATTAACATTTCTAATTCTAATAGCCATTTCTATTATACTATCATCATTTAAATATTAAAATGTTTTAATTCAACTGGCTTCTTCATCATATTGAAAATCATTTAAAAAAATGTCAGGGTGTCTTCTTCATACCCATGGGTTTGCAGCTCATTATTTGTATCTTTTCAAAACTGTTTTCTATTATTACCCAGTCAGTCAAATAAAAGCTTTTTGATATTTTGAAGTTTGCCTTTTTTGAATTGTATTTTTCCCTACCAAAGAGAACCTTCAGAACATCTGAGCATATTGAATTTAATTATTTAAATATTTTTATGTAATTGAGGTCTATTTTCTTTAGTGATTGCTGATGAATTTACATATTGCCTTAAAATTGTTGAGTTTATGGAGTGACTCCTCAATTTTTTTCATGAGCTTATATTAATTGTAATTTTACATGGAAAATTTCTATGAATCTGTCCTTGCAAACTTGTGTACAATACAGGTGCATCTCAATAAATTAGAATGTCGTGGTTTAGTTAATTTATTTCAGTAATTCAACTCAAATTGTGAAACTCGTGTATTAAATAAATTCAATGCACACAGACTGAAGTAGTTTAAGTCTTTGGTTCTTTTAATTGTGATGATTTTGGCTCACATTTAACAAAAACCCACTTTATTGAGATGCACCTGTATGTTTCTAGCCTTAAGATGTAACATTTCCTGCCTTAGCTAACTGTGTGTGAGACACATATGTGTGAGCTGGTTAAAAATTCCTCTAAATTTGGTTTGGTCTGAATGTGAACTACAGGCTTTTCTTTTGTCTTGTTTGACTTCACAGTACCGCTGCCAACCAATGAGAGCACACACTGACACCACAGCATAAGTCACTGTACCAGATTTCATTCTGTCAGAAACACTATGGAGTCACCCTGAACACTTATGCTTGATTGCCTCACCCACATCACTGTGTCCAAAAAAGAAATGTTTGCTTCCATAAGCCGGTGATTGATCTGCGCGCTGGGTACCCTGGGGACCGAAGCTGGGGGAGAAACCACAGGCCCTGCACCCACCTACCATAGACTTCAATCACACACATGTGCCAACCACAAGAAAAGCTCCATTAAAGGCCTGGCCCGGAAACCAACGCTGCCCCACATATGTATAGGCTATACATACAGACATACGTAATGGATACACATGCCCGTTCAGATGGTACATTGGTGACTCCTTACAACGCTAACCTGAGAGACATGTTAACTGTGGTAAAATAATCTAATTCCGGATATGGAAGAAGTCTTGAATAGCATCTGGCATATCCCAAATATTCCAGACATGGTTGACCACATCTGGGAGAAGGTTGTCCCTATCCTGTTGAAAAGACCAGCATATGTTGGGTTGTGGATGCTGGGATCACCACCAGGCTTCTCAAGCAGCTTCACCAAAAAAGGCCATCTTGAACAGCACTATTCCAGCATAACCTTCTGAAGGTTAGTCTTTTCAGCAAGGTAGGCCTCATTTCCTCTTTTGTTGGCAGTTGGCATCTGAATCTGTGTTAATCCATATCCATAAACAGCAAGAAAGACTCAAATAAAGTATCTCAAAGAGTGCAGAGGAAAAAAGTAATAATGAAATCTCAGTCAACACTGACTTAACCCATGTGTTTTATCACCCCAGCCCAAACCCAGCTGAGCCGATCCTCTGAATTTCCAGTCTGATGGTGGCATCAGCAGAACATTTCCTGGCGGTTTCATGCAGCTTTTACTAGACTAACCAATCTGTCATCCTTGAGTACCACCCCTCCACCCATTCCAAGCTTTTCAGGTGACCTCCTGCAGGTATGCAGGGAATCTGTTATGACGATTCCTCTTCTTTTAATGCACATCCTGTCTATACGTTCATGACATCAAGTGTTAGGGTACAGTGATGCATTTGAGTCGTTTCCAACTTCTGACTATCTTGCGAGAGCATGGTTATTGGGAGAAGCTCTCTGAGAGAAAAAACTCTTGAGGCATGCACATACTCAAAATAACGAGTCATTTGTCTGAACGCAATTAAACAGTGGAAAGGAAAACATGGGTATTTTATGAAGGCAATAATTGCTTGTAAGGTTTGGTGTGTTTATGTGAATGAATATATGATGCAAAGATCAGATGTGCATGTGGCACCATGTGCTGTGTTTTAACACTTTTTAGCTCTTGATCTGAGGACAGGAATGACAGCAATACACTTGGCAGAACAAAATGTTTCAATTGTTATAATCTCTGTTGAGTAAAAACAATCATTACACCCACAGATGTAAGCATAAGCCTTTTTTGCTGTGTGATATGGGCTATCAATCAATTAAAGATTTTTATCACATTAATTACGTTATGGCAATTAATCAGTCGGTCGCATTTAATTGCATATATCAATATTTGCTTAGAGAAGCACATAAATGACCATTCAAAGATCATGAAAGTATGAAAAACAAAAAATGTGTGCTTACAAAAAATTTAGAAGTCAACAATAGGATGTTCGATTGTCTAAATTCTAGGCTGAATGCTAAACATCAGACAATGAAAAGTGTGTTTTCTGAGCGGGCTGAAAAACGAATTGGAGGTCTAATCTGCTTTTGGTCCTGAGGCTTGAAATCTGAGGAAAGATCTGCTTACTTTCTTCAAAATCAGCTTATGAACATAAACAGGTGGATTTGCACGCTGTTTGTTGTGCATGCTTCTATACGCTGAGTTTAGAGTTCGCTAGAATTTGGATTAACAATTCACGAAAGTAATCGCTGTTTGTTTTTGTTAAACTATGGTAATCTTGGTTGACTTGGTTGATTAAATGATGCCTTATGCTCCATGTCAAACACTTCATTCAGCTTTTTTAGTTTAAAGATCTTGTCTGTCTAAACTTACAAGGCCAAATGAGTGGAAATGTCTTGTAAATTATTGGAAAACGGGAGTCATTTTTAACCACAAGCTGCACTATGAGGTCACAGCCAGGCTGCTGGAAACCACAACCTCTTTGCAAATTAAAACTAGAAAAGTAGTAAACTTTGATGTCAGTATGACAAAGCATTGTTTAAGAGTTGAAAAGTAAAGACAGAAAAACTTGAAAGTAAAAACCTGAAGGTCATACATGCCTCCACAATATGAAAAGGAAAAAGTTTGTCAAGACCGATTTAGATTGTTGGCCTAAGAAAGCCTTGCCTGGAAGTTGCCTGGAAGGTTATATAAACATTGTGTAGTTTGATACAAGAACAGTTTGAAGGTTGAAGGTTATAACGCTGCGAGCGGAGGCAGAAGAGAGGCAAGCGGGCGGGTGTGTGGGCTAGGCTAAAGGCTAACCCGTTCAAACCGTCGCTTCCTACCATCTTTCTCTCTAATGCCCGGTCGATCCGCAACAAGATGGATGAAATACGTCTACAAATGACCATGCAGAGGGCTATATACAACTGTTGCTGCATGATCTTCACTGAAACTTGGCTGGACAGCACCACTCCGGACGCGGCTATTGAGCTAGCGGGACGCACCGCCTATCGAGCCAACAGGACTGCGGACTCTGGTAAGAAGACCGTCGGGGGATTGTGTATCTATATTAACAACTCCTGGTGCACAGACATCACAGTAGTGGATAAACTGTGTAGCCCAGATGCGGAATTCTTGCTGCTCAAGTGCAGGCCGTTTTATCTCCCGAGGGAGTTCACTGCTGTTTACATCTATGCTGTGTATATCCCACCAGATGCTAATGCCAAGCTAGCGCTAGCACAGGTCTATGAGAGCGTTAACAACAGCCTGGTCGCACAGCCGGACCGTGTTTTCATCGCATCTGGGGACTTTAATCACACTGACTTAAAAACGGCCCTTCACAAATTCCACCGCAACGTGAAGTGTGCTACCAGTGAAGATACAATTCTGGATCAAGTGTATACTAATGTAGCAGACACATACAGAGCCCAGACTTATCCCCACCTGGGACTGTCAGATCATCTCCCTCTTCTGCTGCACGCACGGTATACACCCAGAATCAAAAGGGCTGAGAGGACACTATTCCTGTGCTCCAGGGCTGCTTCCACCGCACAATACGGGATGTATTTAAGGGACAGGGCACGCACACACTTGAATCTCTGGATGAATACACCACAAATATTTTATGCTACATCAATTTCTGTGTGAACAGTGTAACATCTTGGATACAAGTCCATGTGGCATCAAACAGGAAGCCTTGGATGACACACAATGTACAACAACTAATTAGAGCTAGGAATATAGCATATAGATCTGGGGACTCTACACAGCCAGGACTGCTCTAAGGAAAGGAATCAATACTGCCAAATTTGATCACAAAAGGCATATTGAAGCCAATTTGAATAACTTCACAAAACCCAGGCTGGTTTGGGAGGGCATCAAGGCCATTACAGACTATAAGAGAACATCTACACATCTCCCTCAGTAAACAGCAGTGCCACCTTAGCCGAGGAATTAAATCTCTTTTATGCCCACTTTGACAGGGAAAACACAGACCCTGAACTGCCTCCCCTCCCCTCTATTGACTCTGCTCCAGTCCTGAGCACACATGATGTGAGACTTGCTTTCCGCAGCATCAACCCCAGGAAAGCAGCCGTTCCAGACGGAGTTCTGGGCCGGGTGCTGAAAGACTGTGTGGCCGAGTTAGCGGATGTCTTCACTTCCATCTATAACATGTCGCAGTCTACGTCATGGGTCCCTGCCTGCCTCAAGGCAGCCACAATAATACCCATCCCCAAACAGTCTAATATCACTTGTCTAAACAACTACAGACCTGTGGCACTCACCCCATCCCAGCCAAATGCCTGGAGAGATTGATCATCAAACACATTAAAAAAGCAATACCACCAACACTTGATCCATACCAATTTGCATGCAGGGAGAACAGGTCGACTGAGGATTCCATTGCGATTGTGCTCCATATACTACTGGAACATCTAGAGCTCAAGAACACCTATGTGAGGCTGCTCTTTGTTGATTTTAGTTTGGCTTTTAATACAATCCGGCCGTATAAGCTCCGATCTAAATTACACAACCTGGGACTAAACACCACGCTATGCAATTGGACTGTGGACTTTTTAACTAATCACACACAGTGTGTGAGAATTGGCGGGCACACATCCTCCACCCTTCTTACTAACACCGGGGCCCCCCAAGGATGTGTGCTTAGCCCGCTGCTCTACACCTTTTCACACACGAGTGGTTGCTTGACAGTTACTAGGGTGTTCTGACTGGATAGATAGATAGATAGATAGATAGATAGATAGATAGATAGATAGATAGATAGATAGACAGACAGACAGACAGACAGACAGATAGATAGATAGATAGATAGATAGATCATCCCATCCAACAGATTTCAAACACATCATAAACCTGCCCTCTCTTCAAATGTGTAAAACTTGCCTCCCTAAATCCTAGTCATGCAAAACAAATCCCCATTAAACCCCATGTCGTAGAGCTTTGAGGGAATTCTGTGGAAACTGGATATGTGCTTGCTGCCGTTACATTTAACTGTGTTGAATAAGTCATTTTAGCAAAATAAATAACTAAATAATAGTAATAATATTAATAAATCACATTTTTCTCAATCTCTCTGAAATGGCAAAAAATTACTGCAAAACACATTATTTGTATATAAAATGACTGATGACAGCTGCTAAATAAAAATTAATAGTTATATCAAAAATAATTTAATAAAGTTACATAAAAATAAATAAATGTAGCTGTTACTAAATTTGGCCATACATGTTCTGAACACAGTGACCTAAAATACTAGATATGAGCTATGATTATTAACATATATAATCTCTAATTTATACTTAAATATAGCTTAGAATATCAAAATGTAAAACTAATTAAAAACAAAATAATCCCAAAGGACTGCTAGTACCAGTTAATCATTAAACAATCTTAAAATAAAGGTTCCAAGTTGAAGCAAATGACTTTGCAAACGGCCAGGGGTCATTCTTTATGTTTTTTTATTTATTTAGTTACATTTTTTTGTAATTGCCAAAGAGTCATAGCTCTCAAGAATACAGCCAAAATGGTTTGTGATAAGAACCTCTTTTTATGCTTTGCTGAACCTAAGAATTAACAAAAGACCTTTATTTTTAAGAGTGAATGATGGAATCCACCTAGAAACAGATAAGATCCTCTTTGATAAACTGATTAAAGTAGAATCTGGTAACTGATTTAACATGTGATGCTCACAGGATTCATGTGTGGGCAGTGTTGGGCTAGTTACTCAAAGAATGTAATATATTACTCATTACTAGTTACTCCTTTCAAAAGTAATATTGTTACTTTACTTATTACTTTCTGGCAACAGTAATTAGTTACATTACTATGTCTTCACGTCCCACAGAAGTTGTAACTGTGTATCTTCCACATGAAATTCTTCTAGAATGTTACTAACAACATATTTCTGCCTCATCATTTGACCAAAATCCACATTGGATCGCATGTTATTACAAACACTCAATAGTGATTGATAGTGACATTCAAGTAGAAGTGTTGTATTAATCTCATTAATTGTCATGTGTAGCTTGAAGCTAATTGTAATTTCTCCATTACCCATATACGATTATATTTCATTATGTATTTTATCAAATGCTGATCAGAGGGATGTGGGTGGGATGTAATACCAGAGGAAAGTACAGCCACAACTTACTCACCAGTGTTCAGATCATCTTTCTTCCTGATAAAATCAATATAATGCAATATTTATATCTGCTGAATGTAATATTTTCCATATTCCAAGCTTGCCTGCTGCACTGGGGACATCCCATGCATGTGCGAGTTGTGAAAATTATGAAAATAAATCTAGGAATTATTTGATTGTTGGATTTTAAATCAGCGGGGTTAAGGCATCAAAAGTAACTAAGTAACTAAGCTGTTTTATGGATTGTAACTGTAATATTATTACTGAAATCTAATTAGTAATTAGTCACACTACTAGTTACTGCAAAAAGTAATTTTATTACAGTAACTAAGTTACTAACTAGTTACTGCCCAACACTGTGTGTGGGACAAAATCATGAAATCCCATTAGCAATCCTTTTTTATTATTATTATATGTTTTAAAGATTGTATATCATAAAATGCTCACCCAGATTGACAAAGCTCATCACCATGTCGGCATCATTGAGAAAGCGACTGTCCTGTTGGGTCACCATCGGGGGTCCCGGGGTCGTGTACACCGGGTTATAAGAGTACACGAACCCGCTGCGCTGATCTCCGTCCTCCAGGATGTAGTTATACAGATCAAACATGTACATGGGAGCTGCGGTGTGTCTCTCGTGCAGGAGCGGACGGGGCCGGTGCGGCAGCCCGAGGATGGAGAGGATCTCCCGCTGCATCTCCCTGCGCTCCTGACTCTTCAGCCGCCGCTGGATGAAGCTGGACTGAATGTCATTATCCAGAGTGAAGTTTGCTTGCATTGCGTCCGCGAGCACGCTGCAACCACACGCCACCATCAAAGCTGAGATCAGCCGCACTGGAATCATATTTAATAAGTTATTCTTAAAATAATAAGAATGTGTCCTCAGTTGACTTTAGCTTTAAATCTTGCTACTTCATTTGATTATATCATAATGTTGAGTTGGTTTTAAATCCACTGAATGTGTTTAATAATCCAATCCAGAGATGAATCCAGCATGATCTGTACGGTTGCATTGATGTTCTCGCGCTAGCTGCTGCTGCTGCTGCTGATGTCTAAACGCTTTAAATAGCGCGCTGAAGCTCGTGGGCGGGGCTGTCCCAGTACATGGGCTGTCTTTTAGTAAACAACAGAAATGATGTCCTAATTAGTACAGGCACATTTAGTACAGACGCATTTGAAAATTAACCATGGTTTTATTATAGTAAAAAGCGCAACAGTGTTTTGTTTTTTTTCAGGTTAATTAACCACAGTTTTACTACAAATGGTTAGTGTAACGAAAACATGGTTAATTTGTGGTTACCATGGTTTAACTATATTAACCATGTGTTTTTTTGTTTGTTTGTTTTTAGTAGTAGTAGGCTAGTGGTAAAACTATGGTTAATTTTCGTAACGGATGTTATTATAATAGGGGTCAGTTTTATCTCTTAGATAGCTCAATGATGCAAACTGTAAGTAAAAAGGCTAAATGAGTACTTTTTTCAATTAAGAAGACTTTGCCTCTGGTCATGTGACTATTCACACCACCTAAAGAGTTAAAATTTTCATTTACAGTTAACAACTGTGGGGGGGGAATACTATGGGCTTTTTTTGTAATCAACAGCATGGACTCATTTGTATACATCCATCATTATATTTAGGGATCAGTTTTAAAATTGGGATAGATCTATGATACATGCTGACCATTTTTATTATATTATCACATAAATAAATACATTTATGTTTGCTAACTTTCTATTGTTCTTTAAAGTTCTTGCATTATTTTTTTAAGTAAATAAATAAACAAACCTTTTTTTTCTAAAACTGAATGTTGGTCACAAATGTGTTGTGGCATTAAGTGGGTGGGATTCAGTTCATGTGGTAAACCTTGCATAAAGTTATTATTGCAATTATTATTATTACAGTAAAATTGAACAATCTTTTAGTCAACACAGTTATTAAAAAATGTAAAAAAAAAGTTTACAATTTGTTTAAAATATTATTTTACAGTAGTAACAATAGCTGTGCTATTTAGCATAAACTCTCGCTACACTGTAAAAAATGACAGTGAATTTAACGGTAAAAGACTGTAAAAATGCTACAGTAAAAACCTGTTAAATGGTTAACGGTAAATTCCCCTACTATATACGGTGAAAAACTGTATTGGACATTACATGTAATTTTACAGTAGTATACCATTTTTGGAAGTGAAAAAGACCGTATAATATTCGAATTTGATGGGCTTTTTGTTGAAATAACTATGTTTCTTCTTAGTTTTTTCTTATCAGTTTTGTATATTAGGGTTGTATGTTACACCTAATGTTGTTAAATGAATGTTTATTGCATTATTTCAGTTTCATGTGTGTTACCATGATGGTGTTTAGTGTCTGTGTGAATGACACTGTGCACCTTCTATATATGCTATTATTTAAAAGCTGCTTGTGATGGGCTTTGGTTCATCATGTGACTTTCTCATCACCACCTGCATTTGGTGGTTATCAGTGTATTACAAAGGTACAAAACAGATTTCAGTACTTCAATAGGTTGGTATATTAACATTATTTCAGTTAATGAAATTACGGTATTTAACTGTACATTTAAGTTAAAACCGTAAAACCTAAAATATTGCTACCATATTTTTTACGGTAAAAATCCGGCAACCACAGCTTACATTTTACAGAATTTTTTTTAAAGTGTACAGTAATACATTCCTGTTGACAGTTCATCACTATCACTTGCTCAGTTCCATAACAGAATTCTGCTTTATTTTTTCAACGTTAATAATTGTAGCCTTATCCGTCTGAGCAAACAATTACCACCTGACCTGATCAATGAAAACCCCAGCACATCCTTGACCTGTAGCCCACCACGGGTTAACATGCTGCACTCTCCATCTGATTAGGCACCAAACATCAGGCAAGTCACGACAGGACCCTGTCGGGGACTCTGAAAGACAATTCAATGACAGCTCCAGCATGGCGATCTGACATATTGCTGACCACCTGCTGTGGCTAGGGCCTCTTTTTCCTATGCTGGAGCCCGGAGACACCAGTCTGGCAACCAGCACCACCTTCCTGCCGTGCTTCCAGTCTGCCTGCACCCGCCAGCCTGAGCCAGAAGGTCAAACAAGTCCCACACCCTGGTTAGCTCATACGTACTGCCCATGCTGAAAGGCACCAGTGACCTCACCAGCAGCTCTCTTTGTCCTACGATTAGTCTTTCCCAGAAACCTTTCCTCTGCAAACCTACTCTGTCTGGGGACAGCTGTCCCGGGCTCTGTGATGAGGGTGGCCCATTAAGGTTAGGCTACCCACAGGAGAACAGACCCACCCATAAAAATTGCTGTAGACATCCAGATTGTTTCACTGTAAAGGACATATCTTTCTCCATTTGAAGCTGCCTCTCCTCTTTTTGAGATCATAATGTGTACTTAAATTAGCAAGATCTGCTGTGTGTGTTTAAATGTAAACTGTCAGGAAATAATTACATTTGGATTCATCATGAGGATAACAAGACATCGACTTTAATCAACATTATTTGTAAAGCCTGACATATGAAATAATAGTCAGAAAAGGTCGTTTTGAAATGGAACAGTTTACTGAACAGACAAAACATGTTTAAAGAAATCTAAAACAGTATGATATTTGATGCATCAGTCTTTTATGACTGATATAAGAGAATATGGAACTCATACTCAAGAAAAAAAAGAAAAAAAAAGCAAGTTGGTGCAGTCGCTGATATTTACGTGGCCAAAAAGTAAGACGAAATTCTAATTGTAATCAATGAGCTCTGTAGCCTATAACCATAATAGCAGACTACTTACATAAAATACATATGAAATGCATATCAGTTTGTCACTCTATATCTCCTAATAATATGTCTTAGAGTAATATGATATTTAAATGCTTATTATTAAAGCTCTGTAGTTTTATTCTGGGGACAAAACATATGTATTGAGAGATTAACAAAGACATGTTTCTCAAAAGCCTGATGTATCATATTTGATACAATTTAACATGATTTCTCTAAAAAGATGTATGGATAATCAAGTAAGCCTAAGTTGTATCAGTCCAATTAATGTTCATCTTCAAGCAATATAAAAGTTATTCTTATGTTTACTTTCTAAAAACCAGTAAAGATTTTACAGCAAAACAACACGTGAATCACAACCTAAAGGGGACATTTTTTTTTAGAATTACTAAAGGGAATTGAAAATAAATAATAACTAAAAAATTATATATTACTAAGTGTAAACTGTCAGTTGTCAATCAGATGAGAGAAGGTATGTAGTAGATTTTGTACAGCAGGTTTTTTCAGCAACATTTTGATCATTAGAGGCCTTTATTAGAGGCCTTAAAAAATGTATGTATCTAATATAATATGAACCAGGTTGTTGCCTTTTTGTAATATGGTTTTAGTACTTAAATATTCAAATGAACAAAGTGATGAAATTATAGCTAGCAAATGCATGCATTTTCTTGTTATTTGGATAATTCTTTCATTTTGGGCCATTCTACCTATTAGCCCCAGGGAATTTAAGAGCTTGTGTCCTCTCACCTAGTTTAAACAAGCCAGAAAACAGGCAACATTAAAGCTGATCCCCCAAACATGTGAACAAACTACTCAAACAAGGCATTTGTTAGGTGGGATCTCTCAAACTAATATATATACACTCTAAAAAATGCTGGATTAAATATAACCCAGCGCTGGGTTAAAAAGGGACAAACCCAGCTATTGGGTT